CTTACATGGAAAAAAAAAAAAAAAAAAAAAAAAAAGAGACTACTAATACAGATTTTAAAGCAGATTTATTGAAATACATGTCATACAACTCACCCATTGAAGGTGTACAATTCAGTGGCTTTCAGTATATTCACAGATATCTACAACCATCAGAACAATTGATTGTAGAACATTTTCACCATCCCATTAATGAAAACTCCTATGGTATGTACACTTTAGCTGTCACCCACTTACCTCCCCTCACCTCACCCCCTTTAGCCCTAGGTAACCACTAGTCTACTTTCTGTCTCTATAGATTTTCCTGTTCTGGATATTTCATATAAATGGAATCAAATACTGTGTAGCCTTGGTGACTGGCTTCTTTCACTTAGCATAATGCTTTCAAGGTTCATCCATGTTCCTTGGATGGATCAGTGCTTCCTTCCTTTATAGCCAAATAACATCCCACGGGATGGCTATGCCACATTTTGTCGATTCATTTTCCACTGATGAACATTCGGGTTGTTTCCATTTTGTGACCATTATCAAGAATGCTACAATAAACATTTGTGTACAAGTTTCTGTGTGGACATGTTTTCATTTCTCTTGGGTACATACTCAGGAGTGGAATTGCTGGGTCATGTATTACCTTTATGTTTAATCATCTGAGGAACTGCCAAGACTATTTTCCACCAGCAGCACTTGTTTTCTCCCATTGTGTGGGGTGTTTTTCATTTTCTTTATGGTGTCCTCTGAAGCATAAACACTATAAATTTTAACTGTGGTGAAGTCCAACTTATCTAATATTCCTTTTTAAAAAAAAATAATAATACCACCATCATAATTCTGGACAGTCTCTAAAGGCTGAAACAGATCAGGGGTGTAGAGTGGAACCAAGACTTTCTCTCCCTACTCTGTTTCAGTGGACTTTGAACATGGGTCTGACTTCTGGCCCTCACTTCTCACTCACTGAGAAATTCTCTCCAGCATGGGCCCACCCAAGCCAGACCCTCCTCCTGGTGGCAAAAGAAGAGCCTGAGGCCACCATCGTAGGAATTCCTCCCCTCAAAGGCAGCCCCACAGGCTGAGGGAGTGGGCAGCTACCTTTCCCAGTGCCATGGAAGAGCAGCCCCCAGCAGCCAACAGTCCCCACGAAGCTTGGGATGAACACACCAACCAACCCACCATCCAAGAGTTAGGACTCAAATGAGGCATCTTTTTTAAGTGGAAGGTCTCACTCAGATCCCCAGAGCGTACAACAAACATGTGTCCAGAAGGAAACAAGGACTTGAGCGGTGAGCCATGCCTTTCCTTTTCCGTCTTCCAGCTCAGGCCTACACTCAAATATTCACACTTTAGCAGAATTGTTATTTTAAAATTCAAATTCCTAGATCCCATCCTAGAGATCTGTCTTCAGTAGGTCTCAGGGGTCGCCCAGAGATCACATGCTCTACTGGCACCCCATGATTCCTAGAAGCTTTGCTTAGGCCTTACCAGATCGAGAAACATTGATAGTCAATCCCTTTTCACGGCCCAACATTCCACAGAGCCCAGAGGATACGAAATTCTCCATGTTCTCACACCTGTGCCACTAAAGAAGTTAGACACAAAAAGTAAATCTTGTATGATTCCATTGATTAAAAAAAAAGTCTTAGAATAGGCAAATTAATCTGTAGTGATAGAGTTCAGTAGCTGCCTGGGAAGGGGCAGACAGGTAACTTTCTGGAGAGGTGGAAATGTTTTGTAACGTAATTGGGTGGTGGTTACTCAGTGTATGAATTTGTCAAAAGTCATCAACCTATACACTTAAAATGTGTTAATTTTACTGCATGTAAATGATACTTCAGTGATGTCATTGTGAAGAATGATCAGTGTCTGAGAAAAAGGTGATTTCAGATCTTTACACACGTGCTTACATTTCTGAACAGGCGCATGGCTCACTGTCTCATTCATGCGTAAGGGACCTCGTGCCAGCAATCCGTCAGTGTCTGATTTGCATATTACTGAGGCTCCTGCTCGTATAGGAAATAAGACCAGGCTCAGGTCCCTGTGCCTAGTGCTGGGGAGAGAACTGTAGTAAACAGCCCCATTTTAAGGAAACTCCGTTTTTAGAAAATTCCTGCTTACTGGCTGTGTCCCCATCACATCAGACTCCACTGGATGCACACACATGTGCACACACACACCATTTAAAAGGAAATGCTCTGTGAAAATAAACACAAGCCCACAGGCTCTGTGATGGTGACCCCTCAGAAATCACTGCGGAGCAAGCAGGTCACACCTCAAAGGGCGTACCTCAAACTTGAAAATGGCACCTCTGCCTCCCTAAAGTCCCCAGAGGTCAAGAGAAAACTGCAGGGACTGAAGCTGTGACCTCAGAGCGTGTGTGATCCGAGGATACAGGCCTGTGCATTCTGAGAGACCTCCACATAAACTGGCCTCAGAACTGGCGGGTCCGGAGTCCCAGCCCCTTCCCTGCCTGGTGACTCACGGGCTCACCTTGGGCAATTATGATTCCTCTTGGGTCCTCAGTTTACCCCTCTGTAAAATGTTGGACTGGGTGAGCAATTACCAATTATTATTATTAGTCAGCTCAAGATTCCATTCTTCAAATGAAATTTCATGAGGAGCCGAGTAACAAAAAATGGAGGATGCTTGATTGAAAATAGGGTTCAGGGGCCCCTGCCCTTGTCTCCCCCTTGCTCTACTTTGAGGACCCCCTAAGGCTTCATTGTTTAAAGACTCCTAGGCTGGCTGAGCTCCCAACCCATGCAACTGAACTGACTTCACGGAAACTGTCCAAGACTTCCAACAACCCAATCCAGCCATGACATCAGTGACGTCAACCTGTGACCTCACGAAACCTGACTCATGGCCCTGGACTCCCAGTGACTCAATCCAGCCATGACTTCAGTGATGGCAACCTGTGATGTCACGAAACCTGACTCTGACTCACCACCCTGGACTCCCAATGACCCAATCCAGCCTCTGATTGTACAATGACTACACGGACATGTGACCACACACCCTGACTCGAGGAACCCGGGTGAAACAATTGTATTCACACCATGACTAGAATGATTCCATTGTGTGGACCGTGCCATAGCTGGCTGTCTAAGGACGCTCTGCCTTCCTCTTACCTCCGAGTTGCCTTCCCTGTGGATTCAGAAACACCTAGAAGCTATCCTTGGACGGTGAAGCCCACGCCTAACCTTAGATGATCTTAGATCCTTCTCTATAACCGACACGTGGGAATGTCATCATCCTTGTCACTCAGTTACTAAGATGTGCCAGGCACTGTGCTATGCTCTCTATAAGCAGCACATCAGACCCTCACCCCGTAAGGTGGGCATCACTGTTCCCCCCTGTGCAGCTAAGGAAAAGTGAGGCTCAGTCACTGAGAGGCAGAGCTGGGGTGCGGGTGGAACCAGAGCTCCTGGGAAGGCTGTGTTGATGTCTTTTCTGAGACCATTTCCTCACCCATAGAACAGGATGACAGTAACACCCTCATGGTCGCTGGGGTGACTGACAGTCCTTGGAAACACCCTCAGTGTAGCAGCAGACACAGGGCAACGCAGTAAAGGCAGGACACAGACACAGCTCCCTAAAACCACCAGACACCCGTCTATAGAAAATAGGCTTTATTTTCACATTTAAGGTGAACACAACTACATGTCCCTGAAGTCTACTATATACATAACCAGTAGATTTGTTATTAAATACAGAAAAATCTGAGCCCACCAGGAAATACATGTTTACTCTCCCCAGGGCCCACAGCACCCTCAGGCCATTTCCGTTTCCACTGGGGAATTCACATCTGCTAGCTCAGCTCACAATGGCTTAGTTCCCAGGTTCATCTGCTTCTACCCCACACTCTCCAGAAATGACAGCAGCAAACGGACAGGTCTCACAGGGGCGGGACAAAGAGGCCTCGGCCACAAGACCCTTCACAGATACACGGATTGCGGTCCAGAGGCCAAGCTCCGGAGTTCTGTGGCCTGGGCCTAAACTCAGGTCACACCACAGCAGGGATCAGTTAGTGTCACAGCTTCATCTCCAGGTAGTCTTGTTAATTAAATTATTCCAATTAGGGAGACATCATTAAATAGACATATCACAGCCCTTTTTGTAGCACTGGCTTTCCCCCTTGGTCAAGGAAAAGGCACAAATCTGAACTGGAAGCTAACCTATCACCCCCCAAGGCACATGTGAACTCAGGCTGCACAGTCACAGCCAATGCCTGCCGAGGGGCAGCGATGTGACGTCCACAACGGGGGTCCAGAGACAGTCATGAGGAAGGGTGGGCACTGAAACAGTCTCGTGGGTCCTGGGGAGGTCTGGGGTTGCTGAGATGCCTTCCTCGAGCACATGGCGGATGGAGGGAGCACAGGCAGCTCTGCGGGGCATCTTCGCCCGGAGCCCGGGCAGCCCCCTGGGTGAGTGAACACCGGGTGCAGCAGCTGCGGGCGCAGTACCCTGGCAGCAGGCGGTTAGCTCAACTGGCCGCAGTCTGTGATGACAATCTTCTTGGACGTCTTCCCACTCTTGGAGCCAAAGGATTCTATTTTCTTCACAACATCCATGCCGTCTTTCACATGGCCGAACACAACATGTTTGCCATCCAACCTGTGAGGACAGGTGAGCCAGGTGAACAGAAAGGAGAGTAGAGCAACGTCAGCCAACATCATGGTCGCTTGCTCATGGAACTACCTACCAAAACAGCCATTCTGAAAGGAACGCACCCCGAGAAGCTGGAGCCGTTCCCCAGAGCTCCCAGTACCAAGCCTTGCTGAGCTCCCCAATACAGCAAAGGCTGCCCCTTCCTGCGCACGCTCTGCCTCCCCCACACTGTGCGGCCGTGCCTGGTAACCTCATCTATGAAAACTGAGTTATTCTTGCTCTGCTCAGGGAGATAACAGGATATTGAACTACTTGAAAGAAAGAAAAGGCCTGTGTAAGTGGAACTATTTTAACTGTCATGAATTATGAGGTGAGAGCCAAGGTAACAAGTGTGGTGAGACTAAGTCCTGAGCATTTCTCAACTTGAGAGAGGTCCAAGAATCTACAAAGCAGCTGAGTCTGGTGCCAGCAAGGCCACGACTGGCTACAGCCAAGGGCAGAACTGCAAGATCCATTAAGGATTCCATGGAGGAGCACAGAGCAAGCAGAGCCAGCACCGATCTGCCCAGCCTGACATCCACGGCCCCTCTGGCTTGGAGGCTAGAGACAACTAGTGTCTACCCCTCACCCCGGTCTCCCTAGAGTCCTCAGAAATGGGCTTTATTAAGTCTTAGCTCCTGGCCAGCTATTGTCCCCTCAACCCCAGATGCCCCAGGGCTTTGGGCAGAGAATCTTATCCCTTAGTGGAAAAATGTACTGGGGAAGACATCCCTAAAATCCTGTGGGAAGGGGGGCTCTAAGGGCTGGAGCTACCTGGAGGTGTGACATTGAACTGTCTACCACAGTGTTTCCCAAGAGCATTCCACGGTCAAGATAAGCCTGGGAAACAACAGCTTACACCAGGCAAATGGGCCTCTATGACAGGCCATCTCGAGCCCTGCTGTGCTCGGCAGCATTTCCCACATGTACTTTGTATGTGTGTGCAAAACACACTGAGAAAATTCCAGCTGAGAGTGACAACTGGAAGTCTAATTAAGACAGAGTTGCAAGAATGCCCACATTCGCCCTTGGTCCTCTCAGGGACTTTCTCTTTCTCTCATACAGGCATAGCCCCGGTGAAGTACTGTCCCAAAGCAGACAGTTCAGCCTCGCACTACCCTCCTCTGAAAGCACCCTCCCTCCTCCAGCTGCAAGGCTGTCCCTCATGCTTGGGACCAGGGAACTCACCAGTCTGTCTTGATAGTGCAAATGAAGAACTGGGAGCCATTGGTGTTGGGGCCTGCATTTGCCATGGACAGGACACCTGCAAAACCAGGCAGGGGTGAGCCACGCTGCCCCAGGAAGCATCTCACCTGGGCAGTGACTCGAAAGAGCAGATGGCTGAAACCACATTGAGGACATTTGACTCTGAAGAGCCTGGAGCTTGAAGAGAACAAGGCCCTGAGGACACCCAGTTCCCAGGGCCTGTGCTCCAGAGGAAGGAAAGGGCTTGTGGAAGCTCTCATGGTAGAGCCAAAGCAGGACCCCCACCTGACTCTAGACTTTTCCACACTGTACCTTGGGTCTTAAAGGTGATACAATGCTGGGGTTTGGCTCAAAGGTTCTCCCTTTACCGTGTTCCCAAAGGATAGTTTGTGTTTAAATTGAGAGCTCAGAATAGAAAAAGCTCAAGGAAAACCCAACAAACTGAGCACTGAAGGGAAGGAAGGCGCATGATCGGACACTATCAGGGACGAGACTGCAGCCTCCCGGGCCTGCTGGGCATGGCAGAGGTGGGGTCAAAGCTTGGGGAACTGAGACCAGGGAATGCGGCGCCCACTCACCTGGCCCCACGTGCTTCAGTGTGAAGTTCTCATCAGGAAAGCGGCTTCCGTAGATGGACTTCCCCCCTGTGCCGTTGTGGTTGGTGAAGTCGCCAGCCTGTGAGCACAGAGCACCTTCTGAGTGTCTGCCACCCAGACTGCAGGGGGAACCTGCTGCAGCACTGGCAAGCCGCCCACCCACCAAGGCCCACCCAGCCAGAGGCCCTTCAGGAAAGGGGTCAAAAAATGTCCAATTATATAAGGACTAATAGAATAAGGAAAATAAACCCAGGAGATCGAGGGTCAATTCCCAGTCAGGGCACATGCCCAGGTGGTGGGCTCGATCCCAAGTAAGCGGCGTGCTGGAGGCAGCCGATCAAGGACTTTTTCATCATTGATGTTTCTCTCTCTCTCTCCCCCTCCCTCTCTGAAATCAATAAGGAAAAAAATAATTAAAATAAGCTTAAATCTTTTCTGATAATAACTATCCTGGTTTCTGAATAATTCACTTTTTGTCTAAGCAAGTTTTTAATTAATCCTCAAAGGACCCAGCGACCTATGATAGGATTCTTAGTGACCCAGAATTTCCTATCTGACACTCCTAGGGGATAAACAGGGAGGTGTCCAGGGGCCTGAGCCCATGTCTGGTCTGTGGAAGCAGCAGCAGCTGGCACAGAGCCAACTCCCTATGCTGAGCCCCCTTCCACTTCCCCAGCCAGGCCCAGTGGCTTCCCTCTGCCTTGCAGTCCACCTGGGGATGGTTCCCTCCTCAGGGCTTGCCTGAAGCTTCCACAGCCAGAAGAGCCCAATGGTGCGACCCCAGCCCCAGGCCATGGCCACGCTGCCATTTTCCTGAGATGAAGCACCCACAAATGTCAATAAGGTGTCGCCCAAAGAAGTACAATTCAAAACCCTGGCCTGGGTCCCCCCAGTGGTGCCACCTCATGCCTCAGAGAGCCCTCCAGCTTTGGAAGTCCCCAGCCTGCCTCAGGACACCCACTTCAGCTCCTGGGAGCCTCTGAGGCAAAAAGCTACAGGGCTTGACCAAGCCTGCCCCTCCTGTGGCACTTGCCATATCTGCCACATGAGCAAGCCCAGCCCCAATCCACTGCCACTTACTACCATATGATTACAGCCACTGGCGTGGAGGGAATGGGGGAGAGAATTCCAGGCTGAAGGAGCTTCAAAAAGGTCATGGCGACCATGCTCCTACCTCTGGGTTTGCTGACCTCAGGACACAAACCCCCGACCTAGCAGGTTCTGACCCAACAGAAGACAATCCCCAAGGAAGTACGAGTCCTGATCCCTGGGAAAGTTCCTGATGTCGACAGTTACCCTAAACCTCTGACACAGCAATACTAATGTCTCTGACAAATGGGCAGGACACATGACTAAAGACGATGTTCATTCAACCGAGATGCTCTTCTATGCAGAGACGCTCCAAACCCAGACCTGCATGTTCCTGCTCATGCTCCCTCCTCCCTCCCCTTCCTCTTTTCCCAGGCCGTGGGCTCAGGCCAGGGGCACCCAGAGACTGAGTACACTAGTCCCCTAAAGCCGCAAGAGCTACCTCCCACGCACATCCATTCTCAACGCCAGTGCTCCCTCCACAGGCTCAACTTTCCTAACCCAGATGGGCAGGGCCATCCTGCGACTTGCCCTGTTGCTTAACTTCGGGGGCAGGGAAGGGCGAAGGCAGTGCAGACAAGTCCCAGCCTCCCAGGGTGAGAGGACAGGTCAAGAGAGTAATTAGAGTTGCCCTCCATTCAGTAATTTCCAAGAACCAGGCACATGCTCACTCATTACTCCTCGGAACGCTCCTGTGAAGTGGCCCCCATTATTACCCCACTTACAGAACAGGGACCTGAGCAGTGAGGGCCACAGTACCTGGCACATGAAGGACGGAATCACTCTGTGAAACGTGGAGCCTTTGTAGCCAAAGCCCTTCTCCCCGGTACACAGGGCCCGGAAGTTCTCTGAGGGTGGAAGGGAGAAGCAGGTCAACAGGGCAGGCCTCAACTCAACTCCAGGGGTGACACCTCTTTCCAGCCAGCATCCCCTCTAATCCCCCAGGTGAGCAGGGCACGGAAGACCGTAGGCCCGCCCGAGTCTGCTCTGGCTGTGTGACCTGGGACAAGTCATCTCCCTTTCTGACCTCGGTGGTAGAATGAACAATCCTAGCTGTTCCAGCATGAGGTCAGCAAGGCAGGGAGTCCAAGGTTGTGAGCCACCAGCCTGCCACACTGGGCACCAGGAGGGAGGAAATTGTCCCATGGAAATTTACATGTGCCTTCTATTGATGCTGAGGCTACTACCAGACAGATGGGCAGGGCCAACACTGAGGCCGAGTGACAGGAGGCTGCCCCACACATGGAACTCTCGCCTAGTCCCAGGTCTCCTTGCCCAGACTCCTGCCAGCCCACCCACCTCACATGCCTCTCTCCCCCACCTAGAGCAGACTCAGGAGGGCCCCAGGGACTGTCTCACCTGCAGTCTTTGGGACAACATCTGCCTTCAGCTGTAGGGAGAGAAGAGGGACCAGAAAAGATGGTTAGTCCAGAGGCATGTGAAGAAAGGAACCTCCTTCACCACCCAACCTCCACAGTGGCCAAGGAGACTGAGAAAGCACTAGCTGCCACTCCATTCCTGTTACTCCCAGCCCTATGTAGGAGGCAGCCTAAGCAGCTATCATTTTTGCCAGATGCTTCCTGAACCCAAGGCTGAGTGGGAGGAGGCAGCCTCGGTTTCCTAATGTGTCAGGAGAGATCACAATACCACATCCTGACCTGCTCCTCTGGGGCAGAACTGGCAGAGCAACTACATACAGCTGGGCCCAAAGCACCAGACTCAGGGCCTGGAGAAAGGGTCCAGGGAGGAGCTGGTCCAACCTCCTCAATGCGTAGATGGGACACTGAGGCTCAGCGAGAGGCAAGAGGGGTGGGGGTAAGAGGAGGCTGGAGCCCCATCCAAGCCGGCCTCTTGTCTCCCAGCTTCAAAAGCCACCTTGGTGCCAAACCATTAAAATAAATAGAGCAGGAACGGTGCCCTCCATGTTCCAGAAGAGAAAACTGAGGCTTAACTGAGACCCCTTTGTTCAAAATAGGGCCAAGCTTGAGGGCTACACTGAACATCTCCTACCTTCCCACTCAGTTACCTTCAGGACTCTTTACTTCTTGTTTTCAATGTTTTTACTTTTTTAAAAAGGCCCAAAGAGCCCTGGCGGGTGTGGGAGGCTACATGCCCGCGTGCCCGGCTGAACCCCCAGTAGGGGGCGCGCAGGAGGCAGCCCAATCGCGGTTTCCCTCTCCCCCTTTCCCTTTCTCTCTAAGGATCAATAAAAGCATATTTTAAAAAAATAAAATAAAGTAAAAATAAAAAGGCCCAAAGAGTCAGGTGCAGGAACTAGTGTCGCCCCCGGAAGGGTGGCTGGGGTTGGAA